GATCCTGATGAATGTTTTGTTGCTAATTATTATATCAAAGATGATGATGCCGATCCATTATTTAGATTATTTGTTACAACCAAAAATTTAATGAAAAATTGTTTAAATTCAAATCATGTATATACAGATGCAACTTATAAATTAATATGGCAGGGTTATCCTGTATTGATTGTGGGTACTACTGATAAACAGTGTGCTTTTCATCCATTTGGTATTGTGTTATGTATAAATGAAGAAACTAATGATTTTGAGTTTATGTTTAAAAGTGTTCAATTAACTGTTGAGAAATTATATAATTTTAATTATTGTCCAATTATATTAGTTGCTGATGCATCTGAAGCTATAACCAATGGTTTTATTAATGTATTTAATGTTATTGAAAAAAGAATTATGTGTTGGTTTCATGTAACGAAAAATATTGATACTCAATTAAACGCTATTAAAGATAAAAAAATGAAAGCAGAATTAAGACAAGATAATGAATTTATGCAACTTATTAAAAATGAAACAATTTTTGATGCAGCAATTAAATTATTCCAAAAAAAGTGGAAATCAAAGAAATGTCCGCTAATTAATAATTTTATTGATTATTTTATAAATGTATGGTATATGTCAAATAAAGGATAGTTCGAAGGCTTTGCTATTGGCTATCCAAGTTCTAATAATGCATTAGAAGCAACAAATCGTAAAATAAAATCTTTATATACATTTCAAGAACGCTTACCTGTTGGTGAATTTTTATCAGTTTTCGAAAAAGATATTATTCATCAATTATCAAGAGAACGCAATGTTGATGATACAATAACATCACAAATGCAAAAGCTTTCGCAAATGTTCCATCTAGAAATTTATCACTTTGGACATCAACTTATCACTGGATAAAAGAAGATCGAGCAGTTATAACAATGAAAAATAATGATGGAAAAAAATGCATTTTATTGAATCGTCTTCATTTCAAAATAATTATGAAGATTTTAATAAAGGATTTATGAATAAGCTATTATATAATCAACAAAACGTTAATTGGTGTGATTTTGATATTATGAAAAATGAACAATTATCATTTTGGGAATGTGAATTTTTAAATGAAAGTGAAAATTAGACAAAAAGTACATGTTCTTGTCCAGCTTGTTTAATGTATTATATTTGTAAACACATTATAGGTTTAGCAGCACGATACAAATTATGCAGCATCCCATTGGAAGCTAAAAATATTCCATTGGGTCAGAAAAGAAAAAGAGGCCGTGTTGCTAAAGCTAAAAAAGCATTAATTGTGCAATAGTTTTCTTTTTTTTGCTGTGTTTTTTTGTTATAATTGATAATTGTATCTTTATTTTTTTCTGTTACTTTAATTATTAATTAGATATAACTTTGTGTTGTTAGGTAATGTTACTTAATAAATTAGATATAAATAAATTTTAAAATTAGATATATTATTTTCTTAATTAGATATAAATTCATCGTATATTAGATATAGATTTATTTTAAAATTAGATACAGATTGCTATATTTTTAGGTATTAGTTTATATTTACCCCATTCAAATTTGGATATTATTGATTTATTTCTAAATCAATTACCTAATTCTTACATCTACTTAAATGGATCCATCACTTGCGGAATGAATGCAGAAAATTTTATGAAGTTCCAAACCAAGTTAATTAATCAATCACCTTTTCTTTCCGATCGTTTAATATTCGAAACAGATTACCCGTACGTTCCACCTCGAAACTTCCACGGTACATATGATCCAACATGCACTCTACTAGCTACAACTAAATATTTATCAAAAATTACAAATGATCCTAATCAAAATATGTTTTTATATGTTCATTCCTCCAATGTAAATATTAAAGCCATGAACGGATTATAAACTTTAGATTGATACGCGATATCCACTCTTACCAGGATTTTCATAAACAATCTTTTTCTGTTTTTCTGTTTTATTTATTTATTTATTTTTTTCGTTTTCTCTTTTCCTTTTTACTATTAGTTCGTTCTTTTCACTCTTTATTATTGATCCTTTTCTTATGCGTCAATACTATCTTTATTTCTTGTCATTTACTGATTTTCTTCACTGGGGAGGTATGTAAAGATGTTGTAATCGAACGATTATGTTTTATCAACTGCTGATTGTGGATATGTTTCTACGCAATATTTTTTTCCTTTTCCTTTTTGGGTTTTTCTCTTATTTTATGTAAATGTGAAGCAATTAAGGCACAATAAACTATGCTATATGTTAAAAAAAAACGGATTATAAACTTAATAATCTTCTCCTCTAATACACGTTGCTATAAAAAAAAAAACCTTTTTGATAATTCATTATGTATATCATATGCATATAGTTTATTCAAACATCAGGTAATTTGCAAGTAAATATGCTTTTGTTTATGCTTGTTCTCTTCTTTTTTTGCTGATATATGTTTTTATTTTTAAATTTATTATTTGAGAGCATTTCTCTTTATTTTCTGTGGAATAGAAATAAAAGAAGTTACTCCTCCCTTTTCATGTCTTCTCATTCTTGACAATCATTCACATTAAATTTGAAATATGTGAATGAATTTGTTTAAGTTTGAGATTCGTGTCTGGTGAGAAGAATTTTGTCGAAGATTTATTTATTCAATTAATCAAGACAATGTTTTTAAATTACTTTATTATCATTAGTTTTCTTTCTCTTTATTTTTTCGTGTATCAGCAAAACATGTGTACATTGACAATGAAGAACTTTAAATAAAAACAAACTTATTTGTTTTCTTGTAAAATTTTTATTTTATGTTTTTGAATTTTTTTGTTTGTATATTGTTGTCACTAAATTAATTTAGAACAGATAGATTGTATTCTTGATTGTATCACTAACTCTTTTTTTTATTGTTAAAAATAAAGATGTACATGATCTATAAGCATTACCAAATAAAATTATTTTTATTTTAAAACAAATGAAAGTCAGATAATAATTATTGATGATATTATTGTTGAATGTTGGTGAGATCAAATTCATCGATTTGATGAAAAAAAAAGAACAAAGTTCCTAAGAGAGAAGAAGAAGATAACCTCGCATATAGCTAATTTACTATCGATTTAGATTCAACCAATCATTCAATGACCGCAAGTCTCCAAGCTTGAAACAGTTGAAATATTCAATAAATAGAGATCACTAATTTACTATCGATTCAGATCCAACGAATCATTCAATGTTTCAATGTTCTCGAGCTCGACAAAAGGTCAAATAATTAAGAAATACAAAGTTAAGCACAGACTATTTAGAATCAATCCTACATCAACGATAATTAGATATTCACATTTCAACAATGGGAATATAATCACTAACATGTACTTATACAAGAAAATAATAATTATGGTCAATTATAATTCTGTTTCATTTGAAGAGCAATATTTACATTTTGCTATTAGCTAGTAAATAACTAAGAATGCGAGTCCTATAAAAACCAAACGAGTTGTCGTATTTATATTCTAACGAAATCTATAAGCAAACAGATTAAATGAACTGATTTCACGTTC